GAACGACATGGGGGCTACTGTAAGAACGGTGTGGGGGCAGTGTCTGACCTCCTCCAACCCCACAAGGGGGAAGGAGAACCAAGATCAACAGCCCAAGGCTAATTCCTATGGGGTGGAGGCCAGACAAGCCTACTCTGCCATCTCTACCAATTCTGACACCAACCGTCCCCCCTACAGCCCTATTTACTGGGTTCGTTAATTCATTTCAATGACCACACAGAACTCAGAGACCATACTCACAATTATGGGGTTTATTAGGGAAGTAACAGTTACAATTCAGGCTCAAGAACACTCAGGATACAGTTCTTCCGTTAGGATAGCCCCTCCCCAGCTGTGCTCGCAGGCATGCCTCTTCCTGGTCCTCAGTGTCTGCCCAAAGGCACTCAGCTTTCTCTTTGGGCGAGAGAGGCCACTGTGCTGACTCCTGCTGCCAGGTCTCTGCTGCTGGGGTCTCTCCTTCCTTGGTGGTGGTGGGCTTCTCTTTGCTCTGGAATTGGCTCTCTTTTAAGGCAAAGTTGACCTGTCCCCTTGGTAGGCCACAATTACCCTATCGCACAATCACCTGGGTGGGAGTTACAAGCCCATGGCTAGAAAGGCCACACACAGATATATACAAATTTTTCATTTTGATGAAGTCCAACTTACCTATTTTTTTGTTGTTCCTTATGCTTTTGGTGTCATATTTAAGAAGCTATTGTCAAAAACAAAGTCTTGAATTTTTGCACCTATTTTTTTTTCCCAAGAGTTTTATGCTTTTAGGTCTTATATTTAGGTTACAGATCCACTTTGAGTTAATTTTTGTATATTGTGAGATATTGGCCCAAGTTCATTCTTTTGCATGTGGAGATACAGTTGTCCCAGCACCATTTATTAAAGATACCATTCTTACCCCACTGAATGGACTTGGCACCTTTGTCAAAAATCAACTGGCCATAAATGTATGGGTTTATTTCTGAACTTTCAATTCTATTCCATTGGTCTATATGTCTATCCTTATACAATGAAACCTATGAGAGCTGAAACTGGACAGGATTGCCTTGTTTTTCTAGGCCTTGCAAGTTTCCCGCCTTTGACAGGGTGCAGTCACCACTTTTCTATCGCTCTGTATTTAATGGAAAATATTTGTGTTTTCTTTCTCTGACAGGTTTCTGCCTTACACAGATTCCTGCTTTTGCAGGTTTTACTGTACCAGTACTACACTGTTTAGATTACCCTAACTTTATAGTAAGTTTTAAAATTAGGAAGTGTGAGTACTCCTGCTTTATTCTTCTTTTTCAAGATTGTTTTGGCTATTTGGGGCTCCTTGCAATTCCATATAAATTTGAGGATTGACTTTTCTACTTCTTCGAAAAAGGCTGTTTGAATTTTGATAGGGATTTTGTTAAATCTATACATTGCTTTGGATAGTATTGATATCTTTTTTTTTTTTATTGTTGTGGTTTAAATGAAGTTTACATTTCAAGTTAGTCTCCCATACAAAATTTTATAAATACATTGTTATGTGACCCTAATTGCTCACCCCATTCTGCGACAGCAC